GTTTAGACAAATCTGATGTTTGTAAAGTCTATAAACACAATGATTGAACAAAGATTACTATTTCAGTAACATGGTTATCGTAGATTAGCTGGGCTAACCGTTGGCTGTTAGCCGTGTTAGCTGTTAGCCGTGTTAGCTGTTAGTGGTGTCTGTAATAGGTAATAACTCATTAAACGGTCCGTGAAATTTTTTTTTTTTTTCCAGCGGATATCTTAGTTACAACATGGTTGAGCTAGCAAAGTAGTTTTGTGTTGCTATGTGTGGTATTTATTCAGTTTTAGGAAATCACGATGTCTAGAAAGCATCAGTGGCTGCAGCTGACAGGGTCAGCTAACAGCAGCAGCAAAACTAACATCAGGACGTCATCTGTTAAAAGCCTTCCCTTGTCGGATACGACATGAAACTACTCCAGTTAGCTCAATCATGTTGTAACTAAGACATCCGCTGGAAAAAATATTTTTTTCACGGATGAGCACACATTTGATAAAACGGAGTTAAATCTCTCGGCATCCATTTTCAAGCTCTCTGTGTGTTTGTTTCCTTGCGGACGAGAAAAGGGGGAGCGCACATTTCCGGGAGGGCGTGTCCTTTTAAAAAATGCAAGAGGCGTTGCTTTGTTGCCGGCCGTTTTCTCTGGTGTGTTAAACACACTTTAGAAAGGAGTGCCCCCAGACTATCAGAAGGTGGAGATCTCTGATTGTCTGGTGGCGAGACTAGGGCGGGTGGTGCGTGTCAAGTGGCATCGACATGAATGTCAGGACCCAAGGTTTCCCAGCAGAACATTGCATTATTACAAGATGATCAGTGTTATTCACTTCACCCGCCAGTAGTTTTAATATTTTTGCTGATCAGTATATACTGCAATTTATTACCTTTGTCCATATTTGTTTTTTATCTAATAAGATAAAGTTTTCAGTATGATCATCTCACTTTAGTCATTGGTATTGTAGCAACATTTATCTAGTGGACTGAAAAAGTTTAGTTTGTATTTGGAATATTAATAGTATATATAATTTAAAAATTGAGGCTTGGCTTTTGTGTATCAAGACAATATTGCCATGCAAAATATCACAAGTAAAGAGTAGATTACTAGCTCAAAAGTATATTCAAGTTAAGAGTAGAAGTAAAGGAACACGAAAAGCAGTAGTTTGTAATGTGTTACTACCCACCCCTGTCAATGGAAGATACTTTTAATGTTAGAAAATGTTTACTGTAAATATATTTCTAAAACATGCTCAATTTCAAAATCCATTTGGATCTCTAAAAACATAGCACTTCCACCTTACTGTATTAAACTCCTATTACATCACATACAATGTCGACCTTTGGTGGACAGATGTCTCTGCTAGGTGTGTGTGTGCTTGTGAGTGTGTGCATGATGCTGAGGTAAGGGATGGAACTTTACCAGCAGTGCTTGTCTGCCCAGAGCGCAGCCAGCCAATTATCCCTCTTAATTATCTATTGACGAGATGGAATTGATGTTTTTGGAGCGCTGATTGGATAATCAGGAATGTTGGCCACAGTTATTCTCCTTGGCTGGTCTCACTCATCTGTCCAATCTGGTCTCCTTGTTTGACTAATCTGCTCAGTTACACAACATATTCCTGCTGAACAATAACTCATGATCACAGTGAAAGGCATAGGAGATGTTTCATTCTGCTACTGAGGTTAGCATGAAGAGTACATGGCACTGTGCATGGGTTTAGTTAAACGCATCACAGGGATTTTCTCACAATGGACCAATGTTTTCAAGAGCGCGAATGGCGACCTTTTCCATTCTGCTCTGTTCATTAACCTCCACCTTTATCTGCAGACAGGCCAATGCTTCTTATGGGGCTCCATTTCCAAAACAGGCCAAAGGAACAAAGGAACTTAGCTACATTAATTTTTGCCACCGCCCCCCTTCTCTTTTCACACCAGCAGCCCATTTTCTTTAAACTCTCTTAGAGAGCGAGCTGGCACAGGACCAGGCAGGCACCGGGAACAGGAGAGCGCAAGAGTTGAGTGACACTGATTGTGCCTCCTCTAATTAAACCCTACCTGACCCCGGTGTTGGGACATCATTAGTTCTCCCTCGTAATCATCACACAGCAGCAATTACATTCTGTTTGGCCCCATTTGCATTTCACAAGATTTCCCTGAACAATCAAAGACGGATTGGGAAAAGAGGAAGAAGCCAAATAAAGCATGGAAGTCCTAAAAAAGCAGCTAGATTCAGTTGCACAACAGTATGCTGCAATGGTCTGTTGCAGAGAAAGAATGCCTTTCTGCAAAATATCATGGGAGTATCAAGGTTAAAGGTTAAACATGTTGAGTCTCAGTGGCCAAGACTGTAGTCTGAGATCACTTTCCCATACAGCATTAATGCTATCCTGATGTTCTCTGCAGGGACAGGAGGGTACGCCCCTTCTGGACCAAAAAAACTTTGAGTAATTCCTACCAGCGCAGAAACCAAATCTCTGACCCTGTTAGTTCTGAGAGTCTTGCATTCTGCCAGACACCAAAAAATGGGTTTATCGCAGAGATACGTGCCTCAATTTGGTAACTGAGACAGACGGGGACAGATAGAAACTCAAACACTAAAAATAATCACACTCCAGAATACTCCACTGCAGCAGCCGTACGTCTCCCCCACTTGCAGAAAGTACACTACACGGAAACACACACACACCAGTGCAGAGATAGAGCCATCCATGTGAGTATGTACTTCAGGAAAAGTGCACAAGGGCAGATCCTCCATCTGTATTCCGGGTGACAGCAGCGTTGTGCTGGGGTAGCGTTTCTTTCACCGAGATGCCGTCTACACAGAAACAGTCATACGTCACGGACATAAAAGAGGGCCCTTTGAAAGCTCATACACACAGTTGGCATTCGAACAAGCCGAAGGAGACTTTTTCCTACCAGCTCCTCTCATGTGTCTGCTGTTACTAAATCTGACAACAGCAGTAGAGTAAGGTCGTTGTGTTAAGAAGAGAATTATGCTGGCAAATACCCCAGGGGCCTCCCACTTTCTAGGCAGTAGACGATCGGACGTGCATTCTCATTTCCATACTGCAGTAAATACAAATGTTGTCATTAGAGTTAAGTCAACTCCACAAATCCAAAATAATATATAGGAATATACAGAGTTTCTGCAGCAGACTTAACAACAGACACTGTGCACTAGACTCACAGCAGAATCTTATTTTGGCATAGATTAGTACATGTATCTAAATTCCTATTAATGCAAACTAGTTATGTACTGCTGTTATCAACATCTCAGATTATTGTCAGTTCATTGATACTCCCACCTTTTTATCCCTTCCTGCGTGATGCTCTCAACTGGCTTTTCTCTCCCAAACCAAACTCCACTCAAGTGTTTCTAATCTCTGCAAAGTCTGTTGAGAGACACTGCTGTGAGATGCACTCCTAACTATGACTGGAAACAAGATTATCTGGCTGAGATACTGTGAGGTGCATTCATTTGTTTAGAGATGGAGTCTGAGCTTTTGGATTTATGTCAGTGTTATTATATCATATCATAACATGGACACCATACAACACCAGTTACATTGTAGCTCAATAGGAGAAAGAATTACCGACCTTCTATAGGATAGAGCTCAGGGCGTATTAATAAGGAGAGCTGGCAGTCAGCTCTACTGACAGAGTGCTTTTCAGTAACAGGTCATAATTACACATATGACTCTGACAATGTCATCGAAACCACTTAAGGTTTATGAAATACATTTCTCATGTACAGCGGGCATTTACTGATTCATGACCCATATGCATACATTCAAGGATATAATCTATGCATCGGCTATAGAGCACATATATATACAGTAGGTCTCTTTAAATCATGTCTATTCACTACAAATTAAACTCTGCCCTGTGAAAGCATAAAAAAGGAAACTAAGTCTGAATCTCAGCCGAGACTACGAGACTCTGCTCATTACACTACTGAAAGGAAGTCTCTGTCTCTTTAAGGGCTGCAATTAGTGCTTATTTTCACTAGTGATTAATCTGATGTATTGACAAATCTTTTAATCTATTAAATGTCAGATCTGTGATTCACTTTGCCACTAAAGTTCGTATAAGAGATTGTTGCTGATTATCAGCCCAAAACCCCTTCACATTGAATTTACAATAATATAAAAGAGAGGAGCACAAAAGTTCTCCCAACTCGACGGCAGATCCACCAAACGACCTTTTACCTTTACCTTTCTTTAATTAAATTGAATGTACTTAATTTCACTTGGACAATCCAATCAGTATCGATACTGCTTTCCAGAGTCCTAGGTACATATACAGTATATTAAAAGCAAACAAGACAATTAAATCAGAAACTTTGATAGACTAGAGACAGTTTTTCATAGATTTAAGAGCACACCATAAGAGGTAGGAGCTAGGAACGATCGCATTTCTTAAAACACCGTTCTGAGGGACTTTATTAGCTATTTCAGAGTAGGTACCATCCCAGCATAAGAGGAACCATAAGTGACAGAGGTGTAAAGTGATTGGTCGACCACAGCCAATGCAGGGCTGGCAACCATCATTTTGAAAAAAAACCCCACACAAAACACAAACACAGCTCATAAGAGAAAAAAAAGGATGCAAACACGGTCAAATGGACCAACACTGATGTTCAGGCTTTACTAAGCATAAATATGACGATGGAAATTATACACAATTTGGAGTCATTAAAAGCGAAAGTGACCGTCACAAAAAAAAGTGACTAACGTTTCGACGCCAACTGCGTCTTCATCAGAGGTTTTACTCTGATGAAGACGCAGTTGGCGTCGAAACGTTAGTCATAAATAAATTCATCACAAGTGATCTGAGTGCTCCAGTGCTTTTGGATTCTTCCACTATTATTTTGGGTTATTTTAATCTATATTGTCCTGGTCTGAGAAGCACCGACCTCCAATTGCGGAAGGGCTGAAGCGCAAGAGATTCCCTACCATTTTTCTACCATTTTTTAACATTTGGACCTTCAGCAGAATTTATAACGAATATTCAAATNTCCGTCACCCCAGCTACAACAGCCGCAACCTGGACAATGACATCATGCTGATCAAGCTCAGCAAGCCCGCCACCCTCAACAACTACGTCCGCACCGTGTCCCTGCCCTCCAGCTGTGCCGGCTCTGGCACCCGCTGCCTGATCTCTGGATGGGGCAACACCAGCAGCTCTGGAAGTCAGTAACACACTGCAGTCACATCTGGAAAATATTTTCTTACTACATGCTGGGTATGAATATTTACATGTATTGTCTGTCTTCCTCTCCAGACAACTACCCTGATCGCCTGAGGTGCCTGGATGCCCCCATCCTGAGCGACAGCAGCTGCAGGTCCTCCTACCCTGGACAGATCACCTCCAACATGTTCTGTGCTGGATTCCTGGAGGGAGGCAAGGACTCCTGCCAGGTACGAGCTAAAGTCATTATCACTGTTTCTTACAGTGGACACACCAAACGTCACAACACCTCTGCTCACATGTTGTCCTCTCTGTCTGCGTCCTATCAGGGTGACTCTGGTGGCCCCGTGGTGTGCAACGGTCAGCTGCAGGGTGTGGTGTCCTGGGGTTATGGCTGCGCTCAGAGGAACAAGCCTGGAGTCTACGCCAAGGTCTGCAACTACAACTCCTGGATTCGCAACACCATGGCCTCCAACTAAAGTCGCTTTACTAGATGGAATTTTAATCTGAGGCGTCTCTTTCTATGACAACTGCTTCAGGAAAATAAACTATAACATTAACGTCACTCTCTGTTGTTCCTTTTTTTGTGTGTTGGATAAAACAGATTTACATATGTAGAAAATCAGCAGGAAGGAAAAGAAAAGAAACAGTAATCTCTATCTAAAATTAATAGAAAATAAATATATAAAAAATAAAAAAAAAGAAAAGAAAAAAAAAGTATAGAAAAAAACAAATATCAAATACCAAATTTTCATAACGAATACCTACCCATAGAAACGAATATTCGAATATCCGAATATTTGGGTACAGCCCTAGCTTACAGTACATTACTTTAGTGCTCCTATTGGCGGTGTGAATACAAATACAAAGAGCCCTTAAGGGTAGTCCTCAGGGGAGCTTCCCAGTGGATAGTTCTTCTCAGTGAGTCCCCTGACTGGTTTGTTACAAAAACCCTAAGTGGTTTTCTGGATATCAAGATAGTCTTATCATCTATAGATGAAAAAAACGTAATAAATTGATTGATATTTAAAATAAAGTTCATTTTTTGTTGATCAGTTTAATCAACTAACCATTTTGGCACGAGCCCCTCTGTTTAGATTTTACATGTGAATACTGTAGAGCTAATAACTGATTGTCATGAGACAATGAAATCCACATTAGAAGAAGGATGCTCAAGGTTGCTGAGGTGAGTCTGGTTGCGCAGAAAATTATCTTATGCCTCTGTTTCTACAATCACCATCACATGGGCCCTGGTACTAGCTCACATATGTTAACTTTGGCTTTGACGCTGCCACAAGCCACAATCACAGATACACCATCACTTCTAACTTTAAAATAATCCCAAAGTAAATTAATCCCCTTAGCACACAGAAAAAGTCATATTAAATGCAAACTGAATATGTTAATCATTCAACAAAAGGGGAACACAGTAGGACAGCTGAACAGTAAATTATACAACTAAGCCCTCATCAAAAAGATCAATAGTCTAAAAACAGACTAATGTTTAAATTCTGTTTGATGAGCATTACTATGACTTCTGTCTTTATATTTTCTCTTCACTGGCCCACAATAAGCTATACAATGAAATGAGGCTCTCTTTGAAATTGCAATTACTTTCTGAGGAAATTAATCATAAAAAGGAACGACGTGATAAGAACTGCTAACAGGTTATTACAGCATACCGTGTTCATCGTGGCTAAAAACTTACCTCATACCATCAGGAGAGAACAAAGTGCATTCTGGAGCCAGATTTCACATTAAGGCAATTTAAAATATTCCAGACTGCCTAATTTAGGGGTCGGACTTCTGTGTAACTTAATTCGACAAGATTAATTATACAATTAAATCCAAACTTCTCTCAATTATGTGGAGAAATGCTGCCTGCCTGCTCAGGCCGACCCTTCACCTTTGCTGAGGCGAGGTACCTGATAAGCATAATTTCAACAGGAGCAGAAAAAATTGCTGCCTATTTTGTTGCCGTGCTCAACTCAGCACATTATGGTCCTTAATTGCTGGCAGACTTCGTAACTGTGCCCTTGACATGGAAAGGCAAAATGTTATGCCATTCACTCGCACATTACTGAACGTGCAGGAGCTCTTTCCTGATTGACAGGACAATCCACTGAAACAAAAGACTTAATTGTGTGTCAATTGATTCAGTAATTACAATTGGCAGGCTTGCCACTTCAGTTTCATTGATTTATCATCTGTGACGAGCGAGTACCTAATGACATAAAATGGTGTTAGCTTCGCCGTAGTGGTAGTCTATGTTATGTCCAAAATGTAGGGTTAGCCTGGTTTAGGAGGCTGACTTATTGTATTCCAGTACAGTTTGGTTAACAGGCAGATTAAGCTCAGGAATCTGACAGGTAATGTTCATGTCTCTATTGCTTGAGTGCTCTTTCATAGAATATTGTACCCTTTACAGCTACATTAAGGGGCCACTGACATCCAAAACGCAGGACCACTACTAACCCCCAATCGTGCTCCTTTCATATTTATGTCGGGGCTATGAGCTGAACCAGCAGGACTGAGTTACAAAGAGCAGGTGGGCTCATCCTCTTTGACAAGCAGCCATTATCAACACAGTTATTGGAGTGAGAGAGGAAAACCACCAGGGATGGATGTAAAACCTCTTTCAAAGACCTTCAGAATCCCAGTTTCTACCCTCGCTCTCTCTCTCAATCCCTCCCTGTCATCATTTTATTCGCCCTCTCTCTGCTCCCTTCAGAGAAGAGAGGGGGATAAAAGAGGGGGAATGGTCTACTTGACCTTAATCTGCCCAGTAGTGAGTTTCAGAGAGATGACATGCAACCTCGGAGGTAAAGGGCAATTGTTTCTTTTTCTCTCTTCTGAGAGCCAATTTACAGCCCCTGGGGACTTTTTCTAAAGCTGCGAACTATTTCAGGTTCTGCCACATTGTTTTTGATTCACTCAGCTGGAAGGGGCTAAAAGAGCAAGCACCTTTGCTTTCCCTATTCTGAATGTTCCCCCGGCCCATTAAATTCCATTCATAACTCCTGGAACAGAGGAGGGTGTACAGAGTGGTATTTGCATTTCATGGACTACTGTTTGTGTAACCTATAATGGATAACATATAATGTTTGCTGCTTGCTGCGATGGCTATTAGAACAAGTCAGCAATAACATTAATCTTGTGGAAGCCCAACAACTTGAATTGAGCATAAAACGTCAATAACAAAATAAATCCCATTGGTGATATTCTGTGTACATACCCTGAGGTAATGAATGAGAAGTGCCATCAGCAGCAATTGGCTTAAGGACTGGATATAGCCTATAGACTCTGCAAATCTGCATCAAAACCAAGAAATCAGGAACAGTCTGCATTGGCCATATTGATTTTATGAGCAAGGAACTAAATAGACTAAGAAAAAGTGCTTTTCGGTAAAATAATCTCTTTCCAGTCATATTACCTGCACCCCCATGAGCCGAGTTTAATGTCCAAAGGCACTCTTGCAAGGTTTTCCACCTCTGTTTTATGACAATCATTTGCTACTTCACGTTCAAGTGGCATGACTGATTAATCAAATGTCACCTTCAAACTGTTTGATACAGAAAAACACATCAAAAACGTGACCCATGATTGCTGGATTGTTAGGTGCTCCAATCAAAGCCACCTCATTAGCTCAAATGTGGATCAAACGAGGCCGACTTGAGGACATTTCTGCTTACAATGTCAGTGATTCCTCAAAGTAAAAGTGATCTACCGTATCAAGCTATGCCAGCTAGCCCACATCAGCAAAATGCACAATGGAAATTGCATCAATTTCTCTATCTATAAACAAAGCATTTGTTTAGACTAGAATATTTAAATCAGTACTGTCAACAGACAAAACTGCAGCTCAGATTTTCTAATAAGGTCAAAAGCTCTGACAGATTTGCCAAGTGCTCGTATAGAGTAGTCAAGAAGTGATGCATATTTAACAATGTATAAAGGCAGAGAAATTAACCATGAGACAAGTCTTGCCGAGCCAATGTGAGCCATGAATTAATAATTCGGAGTGAAGTTATTAAGTTATTTGTTAACAGTAAATATTCTGTATGTGTCCCTGAGAGCATGACTTTTTAATAATTTGGAATTTTTAAACTTTAATGTTTAGCTCCCGTCTGGAAATAATGGTGCTCAGCTGTAATTGATTCTTCCGCCGTGGAGTAATTATGATGGCTGTGTCGAAGTAAGGCCTGATCCACTCGGCCCTGAGTGATAGGGGAGAGAGCGAGGGGAGAACAGAGAGATTTAAAGACAAAGAGGAAACACATTGTGGAGATGCAGGTTTGGATATATCTCTTGACGGATAGCCTTACTGACCTGGAGGCAGAATACAACACAGTGGTGGGAATAGCCTCTAACCCTGAGCTATCCATCTTCTAAAACTCATTTTTTAAGGCCTATTATGTCAGACTTTTAACATCCATTGGTGCTGTTTATTTAAATCTTTTGGGACTGATAAACACTCCCAACTTTTCCTTCCACTCCTGTTGCTCTTATTTCTCTCTTTGCCACAGGGCTGTAGTGCTTGAGTCCAGTCTTGGTATCATGACCACCTTTCCTGAAGTCTTGTACTTGTCTTGGTCTCGTATGTTGTTGGACTTGGAACTGTCTTGGTCTCTGGGTCGGCTATTGAGAATTAGGGTTGAAACAATTTATCAACAGAGATTGATGACCAAATTAGTTGGTACAAATTCAATTGTCGATTAGTTGGTGACATTATCAGCTACAATGTGAGTCACAGCCCAGTGATGGTAGTGACACCACTAACTGCAAAGGCAAGACTTTCACGACCAAAACCCCCAAAGTGCGGGAGCATTTCACTGGTAATTCGCTCAAAAAAGGTTGCGAGCTGTAACATTTGCAAAGCTGACCTAGCCTGGCTTGGAAATAAATCAGTTGTGCTGCAACATCTGAAGAGTAGGCACTCTGGCTCTTTGGATGAGAGCCAAAGTGCTCTCAAGTTAGTTAGCTTGCTAGCTAGCTTAATGTTAAAAGCCATGATATGTAGCAATTAAACATTTGCTGCAACCCACATTGGTGTCCAACGGGATATCTGGAACTGTAATGTCTTGTTTCACCAAAACTTGACTAAACCCTGCAATACCAGATAGCGCCATTCAACCAGTTGACTCTTTTTCTGTGCAACGATCTGACAGAACAGAGGACTCTGGCAACAAAAAAGCAGGGGGTGTTTGCTTTATGGTGACTAACGACCGGTATGACAGTAGTAATACTGAAATGCTGTCCCATTCCTGCTCGCCCTGTGCCACAGGGGTAATGGACACACTGGATCACTGGGATAGACCGTTCAGAGGCGGCCTCAGAAAGGAGCTGCTGCCCACATTTGGGAAGCACATCCATGCATGCAGCCATCTTGCTGAGGTCAAACTATGTAGACAAACTACAACACATGTTGGCAGTGATGTGAGAGCTCAGGATTTTGCATTTGATAGTATCAGTAGGAGAGTTAATTAAAATGTATTTTTGAATTAAGTATTCATTATTTTCATTTATGTTTTTTAGGACAAGCATAAAAAACCTCATGCTT